TTGAAAGATGTTGGAATGATGGCCTCAGTTCCTTGCTGGCTGTTGGCTACAGACTATCTTCAGTTCTTTGCCATGGGACCTCTTCACAGGGCAGCTCACAGCCTGGCAGCTGGCTTCATCAAAGTGAGCAAGCAGGACTGAAGTTGCAGTCTATTATAACCTAGTCTTGGAAGGGACATACCATCACTTTTGCCATTAGCAGCAGGTCACTACATCTCAACAGGAGAGTACAAAAGGATGTGAATACCAGGAAATGAAGTCACTGAGAGCCATTTTAGAAACAGATTACCACACCAGGAAAGGAAGAACCCTTGGCACACTGAGGAAGGGCAGCAAAAGAAATAACTGATGTTGTGGACACTAAGTTATTCAGGGGCAGAGGGCCCTGGTGGTTGACCTAGGAAAGTGTCTGGGGTGGACGTCAAAGGGTAGGATTTAGGGGTTCCAGTTCTGCTTAGATTTCTTAAAAACGAATCCACCTTTCACATTGTAAAACTTCTGATACCCGTTTATCTGGTTAGCTATTGCCATATAAAAAATCAGCCCAGAGTTTAGTGGCTTAAAACAATCATTTTATTATCTTCCATAGGCCTGTGGGTAATGACATTCGGAAAGGTTTAGCTGGGGTTCACTGGGACCTGATCAAACATCTTTCTATTTTCTTGGAGACTCACGACTTTCCATATGGTTTTTTTGTATGGGTTAGTTTGGGCTTCCTCACAGCTTGGTGATTTCAGGGCAGCTTAACTCCTTGCATGATGACTGAAGATTTCAGGAGTATTTCAGCGAACAAGAAATTGCACTGCCTTTCTTGACCTAAGCTCAGAAGTCATGCAGCATCACTTCTGCTGTGTTCCAATGGCTACAACTGAGTCATGAGCCCACTCAACTTCAAGGAAAGGGGAACTAGACTCTACCTCTTAATGGGGGAAGTGAGTGGAGACAGGAGATCTCTTTGGAAAATATAAGGTGGCACACCAATTCAGCTGCTTTAGCAAAGGCTAATATAACAGTGCCTTAAACAACAAAGAAGTTTATTTCCCTTTCATGTAACAGTCCAAGAATATGCAATCCCAAGAGATATTAACAGTGAGTAAAGTTCCACAATGTCAGGGACTGGATGGTTAATTTTATGTGTCCAGATATTTGGTCTAACATTATTCTGGATATTTCTGGGAGGTTGTTTTCAGACCAGATTAACATTTAAATCAGCAGACTTAGTAAAGCAGATTGCTTTTCCAAATGTGGGTGGGCAACATCCAATCAATTGAAGGCCTGAATAGAACAAAGGTGCTGACTCTCCTCCAAGGAAGAAATAATTCTTTCTGCCTGCATGCCTTAGATCTTGGACATCAGCTTCCTTCTTGCCTTCAGACTCACACTGAAACATATGTTCTTCCTGGGTCTCTTGCTGCTGACCTTCAGACAAGAACTACACCATCATCTCTCCTGGTACTCAGGTTTTTGGACTTGGACTGAAACTAAACATCAGCTCTGTTGAGTCTCCTTTGCCAACCTACCCTGTAGGTCCTGGAGGCATACCTACCTCCATAATCACATCTTTCTTCTATCCTAGCTGTGGCTTCACCATCCACAACACATGGCTTCTATCTCATAGTGTAGGATGGTCATACCAATGCCCAACATGTCACGTCCTGTGTGGCAAGGGCAAATGGGCCTCGAGAGAAGCGATGCAGATTGAATA